CGGGCAAGGCAGATCAGTCATCGGCTTCTGGACGGCTGCTCACAGCGGCTGCTGGCTACACACGGTAGCCCATGGCAACCCACTGCCACAGGGGCTGCAGCCTACGTTGTCACCAGCAACTCATGGCAGCCCAGCTCCAGGTTGAGCTGAACTCAGCATCTTAGCTGTAGAGGGCAGTGTCACTGGCCCTCCTATGTGGGATCCGAACTGGGGCCCTCTGGTGTCCCAAGCCAGCTCTCAACCAAAGTGCCACTCGGCTGGCCCAATTTTTACTTTTAAACTGCGGAAGAAAGAGTTGTATGGAATGTTGAGGAAAACAGAAATCCAATGTGCTGCAATTTCATGCACATTAGGTTTCCCTTGCAGGTCAGCCTGTGGCTTATTACAACAGAAGTGCAAGGCAAGAATTAATGCCCAATACTGGAATGCCACAAATGTAAACTCAAAAGGAACCTGAAACTTGTGTGAACGGTGTCACCTGTCCAAGTGGTCCCAGTCTCCCAGGCTTCATAATAAAGGCCGCTATTCTGTCTGCAGAGCAACCACTTATCATAGTTCTAAAACCTCTTTCCAATCAAGAAAAAAATGTTATGACAGAAAAAGACATCCATTGTTTGGCTTTGCATTTTCATTTTTGCAGACAAAAAGCTACAAGACTGGGCTGTTCAGTTTAATATCGATACCTGGCAACCCTTCTTGCCGCTACCTGGCACATCATTCTTACTGTCCCCTTTTTTAGTCACCAAGGAGCCAAGAACAAGGTGTCTGGGCTTCTGCAAATCCCATTTTATCTTCAGCATTCCTGAAGAAAGTAGTGTAGTGGGAACAAATGAAGACATCAAACAGTGTATATAGCTACAGCAATAAACATAAAAGGCAATTTTAAGCTTCCAAAGCTAGACCTGTGCAGCACAGTCCACACTGGAGACCAACCAGGCAGGGACTTTCACTTAATACATCTCCAATTAAAGTCAAGTTGCAAAAATAAAAACCCATTAAACAAACAAACAAAGCCTAGTACACATGCCTAGATTGTTTGCTTTACCCAGTGAAAGAACAAAAGTACCTCATTTTCATTTAAAAAAAAAAAAAAAGGTTTCTTCAAAATATGCCAATAATGACGAATTAACAGAATGGCAAAAAATGCTGGTGACATCTTAGATCACCAAATTATAAAAAGAATTTGGTTTGTGCATTTGTTAAACGGTAAAAAAACACACTAAATTACTATACAAAAAGGGGAGGGATAGTGGCTGGCATGGTAAATGGCACTTGGGCATTGGTCA